GAGAGAGAGAGAGAGAGAGAGCGAGAGAGAGAGAGATTATATATATATATATATATATAGATATATATATATACATATATATATATATATATATATTAATAGATACATATATATATAATATATATAGATATATACATATATATATATATATATATGTATATATATATATTATATATATATATTCAATCGACCGACGTTGTCATAATGACGGCAGAATCTATTGAGGTCCTTTGACAGCTCTCGTCAGCTGTTAAAGCCAAAGTGCGCCTCGAGAAGCGCCACTGCGCTGAACGCCATAGGGGAGAAATCGAAGCAATAGTATACCGTTTCGTTTAGTTCGCGGAATAAAAGCCTCGTGTCTGCATAGCTTTTCTGTAAAGAGTGCCTCCAGCTTTCGCATCATCTATTACATACGCATGGCATATTGGTGTGTTCCAAACATGACAGAACGTGTATGTCGGAATAAAACAAGGCAAACAAAATGTTGTATTATCATAGTGATGAGTAGGGATTCCACTGAGATTTTTCCGGCTGGGCGACTACTTCAAACCAAAATTCTGAGCTATTCAGGATTTCGAAAAACTGGCATTAACGATCAAATCGGACGGGTCTGATCTCACGATAAGTGAAGTGCAAAATCTACAAAGGTACAAGGTGGAGCACTCCCTTTAAACGCCCGCTTTTAAATTCCAGCGTTCATCAACTCACAACCATTCGGAAGGTAGCCTTTGTAAGAACTCCTATCAATGAGCGTAGGCGTATGAGCCGTCGCACGACGGAACTGCATAAAGTTTTTATGGCAATATATAATCAGACCTCATTCACAAAGATGATACATGGTACCAAGGATCCATCATACAGCACGGCATGCCTGAAGTACACCTGCATCCATGGCGAACGAGCAGGCAGCGGCTCTCAGACCGTCGATGCCGCGGTACGCCGATCTCCTGACACAGCCAGGGCGGCAGCCGGCGCCGGATGGCGCGGCGCTCCCCAGCCTCACGCCCACAGCCATCTGCCGTGCGCACTGTGCCGTGACGCTTTGCACAACGGAGAGGCAGGCCAACAGCCGCGCCGTGGACAAGGACGATCCAGTGACAAGCGGCGCCGGTGAAGACAGAACGGGCCAACAGAGCCGCGGCGACAGGGACACGGTCGCGGCAGGGAGAACACAGGCGAGCGAGGCTGCCCACGGGCATGAGGCTTCATCCGCGCAGAGCTGCCACGCCGACCGTATCGGCCCGTACCTGCCATTTCGGGCGGCATACGGCGACAATCAGCCTCGTCAATCAGACTCAACGCCGACCAAGCCATGCTGCACCCCGAAACCCACCCTCACGGGCGAATGGCTCGGGCACTGATGAGTGGGGGCACCTGCGGCGGCGGTTGTGACCCAGAGGAGCATGGGGCCTCGGCTGTCATTATCGCTGACAACAGCCGGCGATTAAAAACAGATCAGCCTGTCCGTGATGTGTGTCCCTCCCCACCCCCCTTCCCCGGTTGTTCGGCATCGAGCGGCGGACATCTATCGTTACTTGGTGCCCTGCGGCGAACGTCCCCTGTGACTAAGCACCGAACGGCGAACGTCCCCTGTTACTAAGCACCGAGCGGCGAACGTCCCCTGTTACTAAGCACTGAGCGGCGGACGTCCCCTGTTACTAAGCACCGAGCGGCGGACGTCCTGATACTCGGCGCCGAGCGGCGGGCGTCCCCTGTTACTCAGCGCCGAACAGCGGCGGGAGACAACGCTCGGTGTACAGGGCCGGAACAGTGCTGACCAACAGTGCTGACGAACGTTGCTGGTCAACATTGTCCGCATAGTGTCGTGTAGTATTTAGTGGTTTGGAAGGAGTGAGTGAGGCGACTGAGTGAGTGAGTGAGGATATATTGTTTTACATAAACACAGGAAGTGACATCTTTCATTCTGCCGTGCGTCTGGTCTTCAGACCACAGTTCTGTCCGTTTGATCTTTTCATTGCAAGTTTAGCCTCCCTGGGACAAGCAAGCCCTACCCTCCCTTCTCATTCCCAATCCACAGCAGACACCGCAGAGTTGGAAAGGCGCTTTTTGAAATCACAACTTTCCCCGTTTTATGCGCTGTATTCAGACAACTCTCTTTAGACAAAATTACTCCGGGAGTCGATTCATTCAAGGTCTGCCTTCTAATTCCCATGCGTCCTCCCGGAAGCACATGTCGGCATCGGGTATGTCAGGAGCCGTTGATGCCAGTGTCACCGGAGTGGATGCTCGCCTGACTCGGGGCTTCCTTCCTGACGGCATTGTCGTTTTCGCTGGGGCTTTACCGCGCAATCAGCAGCTGAGGCTATAGGCGACTGTCGTCTGCCTTTCACCGCGGCAGATACGGAGGAAACGGCAGGAGTCGAACCTTGTACCTCTGGTTCACCATACGCCAACCGGGCCCTTCCTGGCCGGCGGGACGGCGTCGGCTGCAGGCATTAGTCGCGCCTGAAGCGGCAGGGAGCACGCTAGAGTAGGCGACTGGGGTTGTCTTCTCGCCACAGCCCGCGGGACCATTGTCGCTTCCCGAGACCCGTGAACATAATGCTTTCGGGGTACCACTCATGCTGGCCGCAGGCAGAACCATCAACAGAGAACTTTGGGGACTGGTTTGGTGTTTATGGTCGCCGATCGATGCGTCAGATGTGATGACCAGCCGTCTCCCAGCTGGCGAGGGCGTCAAGTCTGTTGGATGCACACGCTGACGCTAGCCGCGTGGCCACGCATTGCGACGGGTCCTTCGGGGTGGGTGCTGCCTCTTATGCAACGTTGAGGGACGCAGAACCGAAGAATGATGAATAACACAAAACTTGCGGTATATCCATATCATATACTTTGCTGTATATACATTTCCTTGAGAGTACACGCAATTTGGCATACAAAAGCCACGAAGAACAAACACACGGCTCAACTGATGCGCCAATAATTACATATATAAAAATATTACACGAGTCATTTGGTTAAATATATAAACATATATCAGCAGACTCGAACTCATTTTAAGCGCAAAAGCGTTTCAGTTTGTGACTACCCCAATGCTGCAACACTAAACCAGGTCTGCAGAAACCCAGCACACACTACCACCGGCCAAATCAAAATCAGCACGCTGACACGAGCTGGGGTTAGTAAGCGATCCCCGCCGCCCCGCCCAGATATGCCATGCCCGCACGCGAGAGTTCCGTACCCTAGCCAAAACGGCAACCCTGGCCCACCGCTGGGAGGGACTGGTGTCCACACAGCACGTCCACACACTAACGCTGTACCATCAACGGACTGACCTCGTCGCAAACGCCACTCGGACGCCAAAGCTCGCCGCCCGTCATCCAGAACACCGTACGCCATGCTACAAGTGACGCAGCTCTCGGCGGCGTGGGGAGGGGAGGACACGGGCGTGACGCGGGCGTGCCGCTCCACCCGGCCGGCCGAGGCGAGCAGGCGGGCTGACCGCTAGCATGGGGAGGGGAGGGGGAGGACACGGGCGTGACACGGGCGTACCGCTCCACCCGGCCTGCCGAGGCGAACAGGCGGGCTGACCGCTAGCATGGGGAGGGGAGGGGGAGGACACGGGCGTGACACGGGCGTACCGCTCCACCCGGCCGGCCGAGGCGAGCAGGCGGGCTGACCGCTAGCATGGGAGGGGAGGGGGCGGACACCGGACAACAGGACCGTGGGGGTCACGCGGACGGAGGTGCAGCACTACGAGGGCTGTATGGAGGGCCGCTGGCGGAAGCGGTGAGACTGCTCCGAGCGGAGCGAAACAGACGGCGCTGCCACCCACATGAGCGGGGCGGAGGGAGCGGCGGCAGGAGGGAAACGGAGACACGGCGTGCTAGAAGCAGCGGTGCCGGGGAAACCGCAGAACAGAGGGCGGGGAATCGCAGGGGAAAGAACAGCAAAACCGGCGGGAGGCAATAGCTCGGAGGTGTGGTGCGCCGCTGTAGCGGACAGCGTGAGGGAGCAGTGTTCAGAAGGAGGCGTGACCGCCCACAGCCAGACGACGTGACGTGCACCGGCCGTCCCGGCGGCACGCCACAGGGCGGGTCGCGCTGGAGCCGCGGGAGGCGGCGGCGCCGCTCCGGCGCAGCCCACGCGCCGCACTAGGTGGCCGTGAGCTCCAGCAGGCTCGAAATGGCGGCCGACTTGTCTCCGCCACGCGTTTCCAGCACCGAGCGGATGATCTCGTCGTCCATGGCCGGGAACATCTCCTTCAGCTGAAGCGGCAGCACGTGGTGGCGTCAGGTGACGGGCAGAATATCCAAGAAAAAGTCGCGCTGACGTTGCAAAATGTGACCCGAAGGACGGGGGACATTTGCGAGCTGCATTTGTGGATGGCTATCAACATGTGTGTGTAGTTTAATGAAGTCCACGTTCTGCCAAATGAGTGAGGTGGCCAAACCGCGACGGGGCAGAACATAACAAGCAGTCACTGGCTTTCAAATGAGTTGGGTACATACTGGTACAGATCAGCGGAGCGCAAGTCAACTACATCAAAGAGGTCATGCACCGCCGACCAGCGCTTAGAACTGTAAAAGGCACCTTGACTGAAGACCAATTGAATGTGGTAAAGTCGGCAACCCGCTCCATCTAACGCGCCTGCGTTAGCCAACGCGCGTCTGGGAAACCAGAGATAAGGGGTTCGATTCCCCGCGGTGCCCAGCCCTCTTGCCAGGGTGAGAGGCAGGCGGCGCCATAGAGCCTCAGCACCTGAATGCAAGCCCCAATGACAATGACAACCTTCTCGCGTCAGCTGATTCTTTGGTCAAAGTACACTTTTCAACAGTCGTCACCCAATTGTTTTAAACAATTCAACTAACAGCGGAATAAAAAAACCGCAAGAAAACACACGCTTGAAAACCCGCGAGACAAGACAGACCTAGACCCATCCCGTCTCAATGATGTAGGCGACACGCCGCACGCCAGCGCCACCTAATCCACCAGTTCCGGCCGCCGCCACAGCACGGCGCCACCACTCCCACCTGCGCGACGTCCTCTGGCTTGACGGCCGGCTGCTGCGGTTGCGGCTGCGGATGGGCCGGCTGCTGCGGCGGCGGCGCCGCGTACATGGGTACGCCGATGGTGGGCATGAGGCCGAGGTAGGCCTGCGGAGCCATCATCATCGGCACCGAGCCCGGTGCCGGCATCGGCATCTCCCCCGTCAGCGGCTGCGGGGCGGGCGCGACGGCAGCCGTTAGACGGGTGGTGGGGGCGGGAGACAAACGACACACGCGCTGGTAAAGGCGTGACCGATGACTCAGGGCCTGCCACAGTCGACAGAACGGTCCATTCTCATCACGTGGCCTGGAGGACGAGACACTGCACAACAGCTGAGGCCTGGAAACTCTTCATTACATATATATATATATATATATATATATATATATATATATATATATATATAAACCAAGCCAACAGCGGAAATTTTTCGCATGCTAAAATGTTCACTACCAGAGCTGACACGTCAAAGGCGGCTGCATCCGCACCATGTCACTATCAGCAGCGGATAGAGGGTAGGCTCGAGGACCAAGGGCGGTGTCGCCACTTGCAGCCTGTCTACCACCACCAGCGTGCGGCTGGCGCATAACACAGCGATCAGTCACGACAGGACGCAACATTTAATGTATGTGACCGACGATGCAAAAGGCTGGTCACAAACATAAGCAGCTGAAATGTTTTTTGGCAGAGAGGTACGTGCCCAATACCTCCCCGCGCTAGATCGACCCATTCTACTCGAAACCAATTCCGTAGACGCTACACACTGATATGGTTCTGTTTTTTTTTCAGAAAGCAGCTTCGGTATGCCGTTGGTGCCGTGTCTGAGGCCCCTGAACAACCTCGGCTTCCAGCACGAGGTCATCGTTTCCAGTCAAGCCACTGAGTGTTCCATTTCAGCCCGAGGAGCCGCGCGCTTAAAAGGCAGACCCTTCAGATAGCTCATTAATAGATGACTTCGCCACGGATCTATACTTCTAAGGTAGTTCACATCAAGGCCTTTAACGCCACCGTTCATCTAATGCTGAAAATTACCCTGTACCCCAAGTCAGAACAAGGACGGAGCTCATCCCTTCCTTTACGTCCTAAAAGCAGCAATGTTCCAGCCGGATACTCTGCAGATCAGCTACGGCCGCGTGATCCCATTCCAGGACTGCCAGCGACAATAGCGCCATTGATGTGTCCACGGCGTGAACCCATAAACCAGACGGCCACAAACAGTGGATGATAGCCAATATCCCCGCCGTGTGGAAGGGTTGTTTAGGACGGCATGGGCCAAGCGGGGAGAGAGCTTATGATGAGCGGGCCACAGACGAGAGAGTCATCACCTTAACTAACAGCACGTCTTGCGCCTCCAGCGGCCCGGCCAGTGACGCTTCTGATATGATTACATCTTTGCACCCACTGACCACAGACCAAAAACTGGCAAAAGCCAATGTTTGGAAACGTAATCGAATCGGCAACCTGAAAAATATTACACCTGAAATACACCCTTTGATGATTACGGTGGCCAAGATTTTATTTACGACGATTATTATTTACGACTTTGGATTACGACGACTTTGGTGGTGACCAACTTGGATTAAAATGATTGCATTAAAGATTGCATTAAATATCGCATTAAATATCTGATAAGATAAGAGGATTGCATTAAAATGCAATCTTCCACGGCGGATGACGTGTGTTACCTCGGGTCGACAGGCGTTCAGGCAGTGACGTATGTCCAGAGATTGAACAATCCCGTGACACCGCAACCCAGCCATCGGCATGACATTTTCAATCCACACGGTCAGTCGAGCACATCATTGTTTGCATTTCATTAGGGCATCGGAAAAACATGTCAGTAAATCCCCGGTAAGTTGTCCAGGCGTTCACACGGTACGGTTGGTCGGCCAGATCACTGCCTGCCAATATGCTGGCTCGCCAAGCAGAAAGGTCGCCAACCCAATCCGGCAGTCTGAAGTACCCAGCGATAAGAAATGATAAACCAAACAAAACCAGACAGGCCTCATTACGCGCCGTCCTATTCCGTGTTTGTGCGCGGGCCGTCCACATCGCTACAATTACCCGGTTTACATGGGCAGCCGAGGATAATTCGAATTAAGATCGGAACGGATCATGCGACGTTAACCCTCTCGGCGAGGGGCGTTTACATGGGCGAAACCGGCTTTACGTCGGATTAACGGTCGATAGTTCGATCCCGCTTAGTTCGAACCAAGGAACGGGTTATGGGCGAAAACTGCGCTTTTGAGGCGAACTGAACAAAACAAGAAGAAAAAAGCCGGTACTCTGCGTATGGATGGCGAATGTCACGAGCCATGGTGGGCGCGAGACAGCTTTGAGGGCGAGGAGGAAGATGGACTCCGTTGGAAAAATGATCTGTGCGGGACTCGTAGGCTTTGTAGCTACAGCACAAGCCATAGCACTTGAAACACAGGAGTTGCGCAGTCAGCACTGCCAAATCTGTCACATAAGCAGTGTTATATGCAAATTTTTACTAGCAGGAAACTGGCTAGCACGAAATCAGTATTTTCTTGTATTGGCCAATGACACTCACAAACTTACCACACTCATCAGTATGCCACCCAGCATCATGTCATCTACTTTGCGCAGCCCAAGAAACACATTACCTAATCCCGCACCAATGCATTTGTGAGCAGCCTGCAACAGTGAGCTACGCTACAGAAATGACTCATGAATGCTACATAGTTAGTGGCAAAAACTGTGTAACTATGTTGTCTTTCCCCATCCAATGCATCATCAGTACCTGAGGGCAGCATTGCCATTTAGACTTGGCATGGACTGGCAAGTCAGAATGCAGCTATTTGCTTTCTTGACATACTAGGGTTGAAATACTGCTTTGATATCCTTGCAGTCAACAGCATTGGCTGATATGGACTGATGGCTAGGAGGCACAAACAGCCGTGTTCGCACAGTCCAAAGATCATAACGTGAACCAGCCCCAGAGCTGTCATGACAAAAGCAATCTGGGCTCAAAATTCATAACAAATGATTAATTATAGCAACAGCTCAATTATCCACCTCATGGTTTGCAAAGATACATGTCACAAAAAAGCACCAAGGCAACATATTTACTCGCCAGTACAAAAACAGGTAATGATGTGCACTGCAGATGTTCTCTGCACATCATGTGGCATTAGGTTAGGTTTACTTAGTTTATGCACTGTTTTCTTCCACATGAAATGCACAAACCTGGATTTGACAGAGTACTGATGACAGCTAATTTCATCCAGTGCTCACATTTGCTTTCTTGACATTTTGGAACCATCACTGGGCAATTTTGGTCCCATCATTAAAAATAGTTCACATTCTGCACTGACTGCAATGATCTATTGCCTATATTTGTTGATCCTTTGCATCATGCAGGAATTATTGAGTTACCTATCTCACACACATTAAACCGACAAGCAACAAACAGCCTAATTGCATCAAAAACAAATATTCCAGCCCCCGCTTCCTTGCCAGTTGGTCTACCAGTGTGACGTAACTTCATATTTCCTTGACAAGCCAGTCACCAATATCCAGCACATCCCTCCTGCCAATAGGTGGTCAACCAAATGTTCAAGTCACAGGAGGAATGTCTGCAAAATCAATCCTGGGGCATTTATGTATTCACCTAATGAAAGAAACTATTGGTACTCCCTGCAAGAATTGTTGAACAGTTGAATTACCTACCTAGTGGCCTGCAAAGACACCCATCACAAAAAAGCACCAAGGTGACACATTAAATCACCAGCACAAAAACAGGTGATGATATGCAACACAGACGTGTTCTCCATGCAGCATGTGCCATCGTGTTAGGTGTTAGTTTATGCACTGTTTTCCTGCACATGGAACACACAAACTTGGATTTAGCAGAGTAATGATGACAACCATTTTCATCCAGTGTTCACATTTGCTTTCTTGCTGTTTTGACCCCATCATTGGGCAATTTCGGTCCTACCATTAAAAAAGTTCACATTCCGAGCTGACTGCAATGATCTATATTTGTTCGTCCGTCATATCATGCAGCAATTTTTAAGCTACCTTTCTCACACAAATTAAACTGACAAGCAACCAGCATCCTAATTTAAGGAACATCTGCAAAAACACTCCTGGGGACTTAAGGTATTAACTTAATGAACGAAACTTGGAGGCATTCTCTGCGAGAATTTTGAGCAATCCAAAAATTAAAATGAGAACAAGTCAAAGCTATATAAAATAACCATATTACCTCCATCTGGCTTTGGGACGCATGGAGCCTGCCCCAGATGTAAACTAATCTAACCTTTAGGCGGAAAGATAGCACCAAACACCGTCGACGCCTGCTGTCTGCATAGATCAAGCGCCTAGCAAGGCTAAATTACGTGAGCATTTCTGTGCTGCTAGCCACTCAAGGCCCTCAATAATAAGAGTAGTTTTAGCAGCATGATGTCAACTTCACCTTCCCTCTCTTTTCCTTACCATCTTGGACTTGAACCGTCTCGAGCAATAGCTAAAAACCCGTGGAAAAGCGGTAACACCGCACAAAGCTGAAATGGCTATGAACAGAACTGCGTGCGCCAGGCATTTTTCTTCTTTTTTTTGTTTAGACAGCTGACGGCCGATAATTCGGACGAAATCCCTTCCTGAACGGATGATCCTCTCACGGGAAGGGATTTCCTCCGGCGCACGATTCGAATCAGCGGAACGGCGCGTGAGTGTATACATGGGCCGGATAGTTCGGATCGAGGACGGGTCCCGGCTTAATTCGAATCACAGCTGCCCATGTAAACAGGGTAAATGGAGCGGGATGGACGAACCCGAGCTGACGCCGGGCACATAATTTGGTGTGTTTTCCACGAGCTGACTCAGAGCAACGCCGCCTTAGTGAACGACCCCGTGACGTCAGGCGAAGTGAAGAGGGGCAGCGACATCCACGTAACGCCTCACAGAGAGGTCCAGGCAAGACAGTCTCACCCTGGTCAGCATCAGAGGTGTCTTGGCACGACAGTCTCACCCCGGTCAGCATCAGAGGCGTCTTGGCACGACAGTCTCACCCCGTTCAGCATCAGACGTGTCTTGGCACGACAGTCTCACCCCGGTCAGCATCAGACGTGTCTTGGCACGACAGTTTCACCCCGGTCAGCATCAGAAGTGTCTAAGCACGACAGTCCCACCCCGGCCAGAATCA